CATGTAGAGACCATATTGAGGTCTAGGCCAGGACCTTTCTCTAAGCCAGGACCTCTTTTTGTTCTTTGGAGCTCAATTTGTGTCTTATCACTGGACCCTGTGTCTCCTGATTCATAGATTGATTGCTTTATTTATTTTTGTAGGCAATAAAGCCTTTAGGCCGGGCATAGTGGCTCATGCCTGTAATCCCAGCACGTTAGAAGGCCAAGGCAGGCAGATCACTTGAGCTCAGGAATTCGAGACCAGCCTGGACAATACGGCAAAACCCTATTTCTACCAAAAATACAAAAATTAGCCAGGTGGGGTGGTTTGTGCTTGTAATGCCAGCTGCTCAGGAGGCTGAGGCTGGAGAATTGCTTGAGCCCAGGAAGCAGAGATTGCAGTGAGCCAAGAACGTGCCCCTGCACTCCAGCCTGGGAATCAAAGAAAGGGGGGAAAAAGGGCTTTTACTTTTTTCTTCACAGACCTCATGGTCTCTTGATAATTTGTATTTGGCTGCAGACAAAGGACTTTGTATCCCACACAGAGTCTTCAGGGCTCCAGGGCTCCACCCTCCAACCAGCTCCAGCTGGACACAGGTTGGAGAGAAATAAGAGGGTGGCAGGTGGCAGTCCAGGTGCAGTGGGGAGCCTGCTGTGGGGATTTGGAAGTTTGGATAGTCTCTAGTGATCTCATGGTGTCTCCTTAAAGGAACTAGCCTGCCCCTCTGCAGCCTCCCCTGTCCAGGTGGAGTCCAGAGTTTTCTTTCAGGTGAATAAAGTATTTGCTCTCTTGAAAAGTGGGTTATAGTTCTTAGCTCAGATATGATGTGGCCAAAAGAAATTCCTATAGGAAATGTAACTGATCTTTCTATCAACTTACAAATGTTCCATGTGGATCTTAGATCTTCTGTCGCTTCATGCCTTTGGTAGCCCATCACAACAATAGTTGAAATGTCAGCTGTAGATGTGTTGATTTCTGATTTCCTCAAAAATAGGAGAAGCTGAGTCTCAAGGGGGAATATCTGCCTATTTGCATGTCCATTCTACAATTAAAAAAAATTTTTTTTGAAATAGAGTCTTGCTCTGTCGCCAAGCTGGAATGCAGTGGTGTAATCTTGGCTCACAGCAACCTCCACCTCCTGGGTTCAAAGGATTCTCCTGTCTCAGCCTCCTAAGTAGCTCGGATTACAGGCACACACCACCACACCCAGCTAATTTTTGCATTTTTAGTAGAGACAGGGTTTTACTATGTTGGCCAGGATGGTCTCCATCTCTTGATCTTGTGATCTGCCTGCCTGCCTCAGCCTCCCAAAGTGGGCGATTATAGGCATGAGTCACCATGCCTAGACCATTCTACAGTTTTTTTGAAAACTCAAGCTGAGTTTTATAAATACCTAGACTGATAAATGGAAGAAAAAGAAACAATTATGGTCTCTACAAAAGTTTATTTCTTTGTGCATTATATCCCATAACCAAAATCTAATTGCAAAATCAAACACTCACTGGAAAGATTAAGTAAAATTGTGAAATTCTTACTGAAGTGTAATTGACAAAAATGGTGCTATAATTTGTTTGTCCTCTCTGAAATTCATGCTGAAACTTAATCTGCAATGTAACAGTATTAAGAGCTGGGTCCTTTAAGAGATAACTGGAGCATGAAGCCTCTGCCTTCATGAATGGATTAGTGAATTTCTGAATGAGTGGGTTGATGGGTGAGTAGGAATAATGGGGAGTGAGTTATCATGAGAGTGGGTCTGTTATAAAAGCCTGTTTGGCTGTCTTTCCTGCCTGCCTCTCTCCATGTGACACTGTCCACCATGTTGTGATGCAGGATGAGGCCCTTACCAGAAGCTGACCAGCTGTGGTCCCTTAACTGTGGACTCCCAGCCTCCAGCATGTAAGAAATAAATTTCATTACATGGATGTATTACATGATGAAAAAGGAAAAAAAAAAAAGAGCCAGATGCGTTGGCTCAAGCCTGTAATCTCAGCACTTTGGGAGGCTGAGGTGGGCAGATCACCTTAGGTCAGGAGTTTGAGATCAGCCTGACCAACGTGGTGAAACCCCATCTCTACTAAAAATACAAAATTAGCCAGGCATGGTGACACATGCTTGTAATCCCAGCTACTCAGGAGGCTGAGGCAGGAGAATCGCTTGAACCCAGGAGGTGGAGGTTGTAGTGAGCTGAGATTGTGCCATTGCACTCCAGCAGGGGAAATAAGAATGAAATCTGTATCCAAAAAAAAAAAAAAAAAAGAAAGCAAAAGAAAAATTAGAAATAAAGAAATGAGTTTTGGAAAACACATGGAGACAAATGGTATGTATTTACGGTATTCAACATGATGTTTTTATACATGTATATATTGTGAGGTGATGACCACAATGAAGTTAATGAACATATCTATCATCTCACATAGTTATCTTTCATTGTGGTGAAAACATTTAAAATCTACTCTCTTAGCAACTTTCAAGTATATTGTATTATTTTATTTATTTATTTATTTATTTATTTTTGAGACAGGGTCTGGCTCTGTCTCTCAGGCTGCAGTGCAGTGGCATGATCTTGGCTCACTGCAACCTTCTCCTCCCAGGTTCAAGCAATTCTGCTGCCTCAGCCTCCCAAGTAGCTGGGATTACAGGTGCTCACCACCATACTAGTTTTTGTATTTTTAGTAGAGACAGGGTTTCGCCATGTTAGCCAGGCTGGTGTCAAACTCCTGACCTCAAGTGATGCACCTGCCTTGGCCTCCTGAAGTGCTGGGATTCCAGGCGTGAGCCACCACGCCCAGTCTGTATTATTTATTATAGTCACTATGCCATATATTAGATCTCATGACACCCACCCGGCAACTCCAAGTAGGCTGTGATCTTCCATCCTCTAAAACCATGGTGTATGTGTGGCCTCTCCATTGACCCTTGGTATTTTCTTAAGAGATGTTTGAGCTGGGCACAGTGACTCACGCCTGTAATCCCAGCACTTTGGGAGTTTGAGGGAGGTGGGTCACCTGAGGTTAGGGGTTCGAGACCAGCCTGGCCAACACGGTGAAAACCCGTCTCTACTAAAAATACAAAATTAGCTGGGCATGGTGGTGGATGCCTATAATCCCAACTACTTGGGATGCTGAGGGAGGAGAATTGCTTGAACCTGGGAGGTGGAGGTTGCAGCAAGCTGAGATCATGCCACTGCACTCCAGCCTAGGCAACGGAGTAAAACTCTGTCAAAAAACAAAATGAAACAAAACAAAAAAACCATCTGCTTCAGGATGCTGAGGAAAATGACAAAACCAGTGAATCCATGATCCATGAACGTGGGCCCATTGCTTTAACTCATTTGCTAGGAAGTGAGTTCCTTGGTTGGAAGCAATGTTTTATGGAGTACCATGACAGTAGATAAGGTATTCTGTAAATTTACAGGTAGTTATTTTGGCCAAAGGGTTGAGTGCAGGGAAGGCAAAATCATATCCAGCGTGTCTATTCCAGTCCAGGAAGCGGAGGTTGCGGTGAGCTAAGATCGCGCCATCGCACTCCAGCCTGGGTAACAAGAGCAAAACTCTGCCTCAAAAAAAAAGAAAAAGAAAAGAAGAAACTTCATTTTTTTTTCCCATAATGGTAGTGGTCTAACGTAATTATTTTTCCTCTAGCTATATAGCTTATCACCCTGGGTGATGGTGCCATATTAGGGACTCAGTGTTAGCCCTGATGCTTTCTGTAGGCATGATTAGGAGTGTCCAATGATGATGAATTACCACATTTAGTTATGAACCCAGTGCCCTCTCTATTACTGGAACTAGTCATTAGTGCCCTTAAAGTTTATTTCATTAGAGAACCAATTTCAGAAACCCAGAATCAATTCAGAAAACTCATCTCTAAGATTCTTTTTTTTTTTTGAGATGGAGTTTTGCTCTTGTTGCCCAGGCTGGAGTGCAATGGCACAATCTCAGCTCACTGCAACCTCCACCTCCCAGGTTCAAGTGATTCTCCTGCCTCAGCTTCCTGAGTAGCTGGGAATGCAGGCATTTGCCACCACGCCCAGCTAATTTTTTGTATTTTTAGTAGAGATGGGGTTTCTCTATGTTGGTCAGGCTGGTCTCAAACCCCCGACCTCCAGTGATCCGCCCGCCTCAGCCTCACAAAGTGCTGGGATTATAGGCGTGAGCCACCACTCCCAGACAATATCTTTTGTTATACAGCCACTAACAGCACTGAAGTCTGTGTCAGTCAAAATTTGACCTGAGAAACAGATCAGTTTTTGAGGAATCGACTTATACAGTTGTGGGGGCTGACTAGGCAAGAAGGATGCCTGGAAAGGTGAGCCGACACCCTCAGGCAGGAGCTAAAGTTGCTCTCCACTGGTGCGATTCTCTGCCTCAAGAGAGCTTTGCTCTGATTCAATCAGTCCCACTCACATTATATTGAATAACTGGCTTTAGGCAAAGCCCATTGATTTTATATGTTAACCACACCTGCAAAATGCATTTGTGGCAACACCTACATTAATGTTCGATTGATAAACTGCAGCGCTTAGACTAGCCAGCTTGACATAGCCAGACCACCACATTGATGATGGAATAAAATACGTTTCAGGAAAGGCTGAGGAAAATGTGAAAAGTACAAAATAAGGTGATACTCTCCATTTGTTAAATAATATGGCCAAGCCAAAATAATTAAGAAATAAAAGAACCTGAACACAGAGAACAAATGCTTAAATATGTGTAAACTAGAGAGGACAGAACCATAGTCATATTTGGAGAAGTATAATAGATGCAAAATTACCTAGTGGAATCTGTACTTCTACTTAAAATTCAACTTACCCTTCATCTAATTACTTCAAAATCCATTTAAGTGGTGTCAAATATTTAAATAAGGAACTAAGTGGAAAGGTATTTAAGAAATGGGTGCAGCTAGGCTCTGCACCTCCCGCCTGTAGTTCCGGCATTTTGGGAGGTCAGGTGGGCCTTTCACCTGAGGTCAAGAGGTCGAGAAGTGGGTGGGGCACCCCGAATTTTGTTGTATCTTACCTTCCTGGCAGTTGTTCAGTGAAGCCACTAGACTCTGGAATCCAGGCCACTCTTCCCAGGATGGATTTGGCCAAAAGTTCAAATGGTAAGCTCCTATCAGCCCTTTGGCTGTTCTCTGTGTTGATGCCAAAGGACTTGTTTGTTTTCCAGAGTTTATGAAAGTTTAAATCGCAGCCGGGACCAGGGGCTCACGCCTGTAACCCCAGCACTTTGGGAGGCGGAGGTGGGCAGATCACCTGGGGTCAGGAGTGCAGGGCCAGCCTGCCCAACATGGTGAAACCCCGTCTCTTCTAAAAATACAAAAATTCGCTAGGCGTAGCTAACTGGGATTAAGGGGCGTAGCGGCGGGCCCCTTAATCCCAGTTACCCGGGAGGCTGAGGCAGGATAATTGCTTGAACCCAGAAGGCGGAGATTGCAGTGAGCCGAGATGACGCCACTGCACGCCAGCCTGGGCGACAGAGAGAGACTCTTGTCTCCAAAAAAAAAAAAAAAATGAAAGTTTAAATCACAATCATGATTCATGATTAGAGGGATATGTTTTAACCTTTTAGTTTTTTACAGGATATTTACTTGTTTTATTAATTTTATGTATTTTTCTAATTCTGTTGCTTCCTGTTTTCTTGCATATACTACCATTGTGGAATTTCTGTAAGCTTTTGCTCTGTATACTTAGATCATTACCTATCATATTTCCTAAAATATGAATTTATCCCTCTATATATCCTTATTAGCATGACTTAGAATGTGTTGCTGAAGTAAAAACATAGAGTGATCAATGGATATATTAGCTTTCCATCTGAAATAAACATAAAGTATGTGTCTATGCCAACAATTTTAATCTGTAAATGCGTTCTTCATACTCTCCTTTTATTCCTTTTTTTCTTTGCTCTTTCACTAGAAAGAGAGGCCTGTGGAAAGAGGATTGTTTTGAACCAGCATCACAAAGATACCCTCCAGGCATGGTTTGAAAAGAACCCCTATGCTGGTATAGCTACCAGGGATCAACTGGCCAAAGAAATTGACATTCCAGAGTCTAGAATTCAGGTGGGCATGAGGTTTCTATTTTCTCTCAAAGGTAGGCTAAGCACTTTCAAGCAATTCTCTTAGGTCTGATATTTTGCCAAGAAGTTTATTCCTGTTATGTAATGAAAAAAAAAAAATAAAAGCAACAACTCTGTGTATTTCTTTTATCTCTGTTTTTTTTTTTTTTTTTTTTTGAGACAGGATGTAGTGTAATGGCTCAATCACAGCTCACTGCAGCCTTGATTTCCTGGGCTCAATCAATCATCCCATCTCAGCCTTCCGAGTAGCTGGGTCCACAGGCACATGCCATCATGTCCAGCTAATTTATTACTTTTTTGAGACTGAGTCTTACTCGGTTGCCCAGGCTGGAGTGCACTGGCTCCATCTTGGCTCACTTCAGCCTCCACCTCCTGGGTTCAAATGATCCTGCTGCCTCAGCCTCCCGAGTGGCTGGGACTACAGTCATGCACCACCATGCCCAGCTAATTTTCATAGTTTTAGTAGAGAGGAGGCTTTACCATGTTGGCCAGGCTGGTCTGGAACTCCTGATCTCAGGTGATCTGCCTGCCTCAGCCTCCCAAAGTGCTGGGATTACAGGTGTGAGCCACCACACCCAGCTGCAATCTTCCCACCTCAGCTTCCCAAAGTGCCAAGATTATAGATTGAGCCACCACATCTGGCCCTAGTTTTTTTTTTAATTTAATGTCTCTAATATGATTCATATACCAGAATGTTTAAAATCCTATATTATTTGAATAAAATTATTGATGCAATAATTAATATAATTTTTAAAGTTATTAAAAAGATAAAGTGTATGTTGTCCCATGTGAGATGGTATTTAAACTCATGACCATAAGTGAATAGTCTTTTTAGGGGTAAAAATTGAGTTCAGGTTTTAGCATCTAATCTATAATCTCTGATTAGTTGGTTATAATAACCCCAATTTTTGAAAATACTCAAGAGAATAAAATTGCCTTATGTTTTTAATTGCCTGATGAGTTTGTCCTGCCTACTGTGCAGATGAAACCAATTGACTGAAACTATGGCTTTGCAATAAAGAATTTAATTGACATGAGGTTGGCCACACCATGTGGATATGTAGTTACTACTTAAATCAACCTCCCTGAAAATTCAGAGGCTAGGATTTCTCAAGAATAGTTTGGCAGGTAAGGGAATGGATGATATATACCTGATTGGTTGGGGATGCAATCATAGGAGTGTGGAATATGGTCCTGTGCTGAGTCTGCATCTGGGTGGAGCTGTCAGTTGTCAGAAGTGCAAAAACCTGGAAAGGCATCTCAAAAGGCCAATCTTAGGTTCTACAATTGTGGTGTTATCTGGAGGAGTAATTGGGGAAGTTGTGGAACCGTGGCTGGTGATCTCTTCAGTCCACACCTCAGCAGAATTCAGGCTCCTCCTATCCTAGTGGTCTTTCACTAGCTTTACAAAGGCTGTTTTGGGGAAGGGCTATTATCATTTAAACTATAAACTAAATTTCTCTCAAAGTTAGCTTGGCCCAAGCCCAGGAATGCCTAAGGGCAGTTTGGAGATTAAAGGAAAGCTGGGGCTGGGTGTGATAGCATGCACCTGTAGTCTCAGATACTTGAGAGATTGAGGCAGGAGAATAGCCTCAACCCTGGAGGCGTAGGTTGCAGAGAGCCAATATTGCACCACTGCACTCTAGCCTGGGCAACAACCACAAGACTCTGTCTCAAAAATAAGTTAATTAATAAAGGCAAGATGGAGGCTGGTTAGGTCAGATCTCTTTCACTGTCATAATTTTCTCACTGTTATAAGTTTTACAAAGGCAGTTTCATGTTTAGATGATCTGTTCTGGGTATGAGAGAGAGGGTTTACTCATATTCCAGTAATAAAATTGCTGCATGTGAGAACACTTGGTGATTTGCTGCCTGAGAGGCTCTGAGCTCACTGGAACCTGTAATGAGAAGGAAAGACCAGGAAACAATGTAAGGTGCTGTTAGCTCTCATAGGGAATTTACAAATGTCTTCATTGGTTTAGATTCCAGCTGTGTGTAAGACTTTTTAACTGAAAATATTTTGATTAATTTAGAGAACAAATACAGCTTTTAAGCACAATGCTTGGGAATGGAGAGCTGCTCAGTAGTGCCAACAAAAAGAGTCAAACTCTGTAAAATATTTAGTATTTGTTGTTTTTTAACTTTTGGTCTTTTTTTCTTATTTTTTCCTTTTTCTTCTATTGTCTTTTTTCCCTTTTTTTTTTTTTTTTTTTTTTTTTCTTTTGAGACAGAATTTTTGCTCTGTTGCCCAGGCTGGAGTGCAGTGGCACGATCTCAGTTCACTGCAACCTCTGTCTCCCAAGTTCAAGTGATTCTCCTGCCTCAGCCTCCTGAGTAGCTGGGATTACAGGTGCCCACCACCAGGCCCAGCTAATTTTTGTATTTTTAGTAGAGATGGGGTTTTCTTATGTTGGCCAGGCTGGTCTCAAACTCTTGACCTCAGGTGATCCAGCCGCCTCAGTCTCCTAAAGATTAAGGATTACAGGCATACGCCACCGCAGCCAGCCTTTCTTTTTTCACTTTTAGTTTTTTAACTTCTGCGTAATTTCTGTGAAATAAAGAAATTTACTGAGCCAAATCTGAGTAATCCTGGCTCATGATGCAGCCCTTAAGAAGTCCTGAGAACATGTGCCCCAGATAATTGGGATACAACTTGGTTTTATACATTCTAGGGAAATATGAGACTTCAATTAAGTACATTTAAGCAATACAGGACCAGCTATGGTGGCTCACGCCTGTAATCCAAGAAATTCTGGGAGGCTGAGGCAGGCAGATCATTTGAAGTTCAGGAGTTCAAGACCAGCCTGGTCAACATGGTGAAACCTCATCTCTACTAAAGATACAAAAATTAGCTGGGCATGGTGGCAGGTCCCTGTAATCCCAGCTACTTGGGAGGCTGAGGCAGGATAATTGCTTGAACCTGGGAGGTGCAGGTTGCAGTGAGCTGAGATAGCAACATTGCACTCCAGCCTGGGTGACCAGAGTGAAACTCCATCTCAAAAAGAAAGAAAAAAGAAAATGTCTGGGCTGCCAGAAGACTTTGTGGAGATCAGTGTTTTATCATGCAGAGAGAATAGATTGTAAATACTTCTCATCAGACTTAAGGTCTATGTTGATGTTAATGCGGGCCTGAACCAGTCTCTTAGGTTAAAATTTTTTTTTTTTTTTTTTGAGGATGGAGTCTCATTCTGTCCCCCAGGTTGGAGTTCAATGGTGCAATCTTGGCTCTCTGCAACCTCTGCCTCCCGGGTTCAAGCAATTCTCCTGTCTCAGCCTCCTGAGTAGCTGGGATTACAGGCATATGCCACCACACCTGCTAATTGTTCTATCATAGAGACAGGGTATCACCATGTTGGTCAGACAGGTCTTGAATTCCTGACCTCGTGATCCGCCTGCCTCGGACTTCCAAACTGCTGGGATTACTGAGCCACTTCGCCTAGTAGGGTTAAGTTTTAAGAGAGCCCTGATGGAGAAGGAAGTCCATTCAGATGGCTCGGGGGGCCTTAGGATTTTATATTTGGTTTATAACAGACATTGGTCATTATGAAGTTACAAATCTTACAATGGAATGACTTGAGGCCAATTGATTAATAGTGTACTGGAAAGAGGTCCTGATCCAGACCCCCAAGAGAGTTCTTGGATCTCCAAAAGAAAGAGTTGGAGGTGAATCCATCAAATGAAAGCAAGTTTATTAAGAAAGTAAAGGAAAAAAAGAATAGCTAGCTACTCCATAGGCAGAGCAGCAAAGTAGGCTACTCAACTAATTATAGTTATTTCTTGATTATATGCTAAACAAGGGGTGCATTATTCATGAGTTTTCCAGGAAAGGGGTGGAGATTTTTCAGAACTGAGGATTCTTCCCCTTTTTTGACCATATAGGGTAACTTCCTGATGTTCCCATGGAATTTGTAAACTGTCAGGCCGCTGGTGGGAGTGTCTTTTGGGATGCCAATATATTTTAATTAGACTGGGGCAGTGGCTCAAGCCTGTAATCTCAGCACTTCAGGAGGCTGAGGCCAGCAGATCACCTGAGCTGAGGAGCTGGAGACTGGCCTGGGCAACATGATTCGTCCG